ATGTATGCAAAGGGTAGATACCATAGGTATTTTGAATTCTGCATATTCAAATGCATATAGAAATCATACCTATAGGTCATTTTAAATTCTGCATATCCCAATTCTCACATAGATACCATGTCTATATGTATTTTGAATTCTGCATACTCAAATGCATATAGATATCATGCCTATAGGTCGTTCTGAATATCCAATTCTCATATAGAAATCATATCTATAGGTATTTTGAATTCTGCATATTCAAATACATGTAGAAGTCATGCCTATAGGATTGGTCAATTTTGCATATTCCATTACATCTAGATACCATGCTCATAGGTTTAAAACAAATTCTGCATCTAGATACTATATCTATAAGGTTTGAAAAAAAATCAGCAATATATAGAAAGCATGCCTATAGGAGTTTCTAATAAAAAATCTGATTCACCCAGTAATAATGGCTACTATCAGCTGCAGGACTTTTTAATCCATTTGTTAAATCCCGCCTCTCTTTTAACAATCTGATTCTATCACTTAGCAAGTTTAACGAGTATGCATTCAAAACAGTTTACTTCGAGCCTTGTTGTTTTCTTGTTTTCTGAATCCAGTAGATACCATGCCTATAGGATCCTTGTCCAACACTTAGGCAAGACTTAAGGTAATAATTATAAACTGAATCTGCTTATGTTAATAATTACAACCAGCAGGCATGCCTGATTCGGACTTCTTATCTGAGTTATGTGATAAGCTGAAGTTGTCTGAACAATTTCCTCTCACTCGTCTTTAATACCTTTTAAAATCTGACCTAAAACAGTATGTGTAAGTCATGATAATTACGTGATTCTTTGTTTAAGGAGGTATATCTGAGCCTCTGTTTGTTATATGCTTTCCCCCAATTTGCAATATGTGTTTTTGTATGCCGCCTTAGAGTTTTACCTTTGAAACTACAAATAATCCTATCACCCTCCCCTTTAGAATTAGTAGTCTTAAATGCCTCCGGGACTGATAGGACTGGGACGGGTAATAACATGCAATAGTAATCGAGACCAATCCGCACTTTAAATACCTTGACGGGGTGGGAAGGGTAGATATGAATATGATGACCACGCGATAATGTCACGTGTAGCCCCTCATTGAGGAGTGATTACCAGATATTGTGTGGGGTGATCCATATTGTTAATAAACCTAGGACCCCCTTTCCCTTATTTCTTCATTTCTTTTATCATTTCAACTCCTTCTTTTAACAAATCAGCTTTCTTTTCTAATTGCTCTTCCGAACTTTGTCTATTTTTTTATCCTTTATATGTGAAATCCCCTCTTATTTGAGCCTTATTTGTTTACATGTTACTTGCAGCAAATTCACAATGATTGTCTGGCCGGGAACCACACTAGTGGATTCTGAGGGGTGCCTAACACCTTTCCCCTTGGAATAATTTCAAGCCCTTACCCAATCTCTGGTTACTCAAATCAAACCCTCTTGGTGTCCTAATGCACCCTAATCATTAGGTTGTTGATTAGACCCAATTCCTAAAAGGGATGAGTTGTCCCTCCAAATGTCATAAACCTGACTCCGCGAGGAAAAAGGGGGCGCGACAATCACCTCCTTAATCTAAGTTAGCCTTAAGAGTATTAGTTTTTTCTTTGTCATTTCTTACTCTGTACTTGCACTGTGAGGCATGATGGCCTGATTTTCCACAAACAAAACAAGAGCCCTTTTTTCCTTTTAAGTTTATGATTTTTAGGCTTGCAACCCTGAGACTTATTCTCGTACCTTTTGCGGTTGTTATTGCTGCTTTGCACCAAGTTTGTTTTAAGAGCTGTCATCCTAGCTATGGCAGATTCTTTTCTATTGGAATATTCAATTAGGATGTGGATCACAATTTCCTCAATGGTTCAATGTTTTTATTTGTGCTTTAAGTTATTTTTATAGTCACTCCATGAGTCAGACAACTTCTCAATTAGCACTCCAGCAACAAACTGCTCTGGTAAAGACATCCTCTCGGCTTTTAAGTCTTCTAACAATTTTTGAAATTCGTTGATTTGTATGTTCATCTCTTTATCATCTTCATCTGCCACTGATAAAATTTTCCTACTACAAATTTTTGTTTTGTAGCATCTTCAGTAATGAATTTTTTAATTAAAGCTTCCCATATAGCTTTTGCTTCTTTATAACTGCAATACACGTTAAACAGTTCGTTAGAAATAGTTTGCAATATTGTATGACGACATACCTTGTTGGCATATTGCCATGATTCCACTATTTTATTATCAGCGTCTGCACTAGGTTGTAGATGCAGCAGTGTATGTGCAACACCATGGACATCAAGCAGTGAGAAAATACGTTCTTGCCAACGTTTGAAATTTTCATTGGCGAAAATTTCAATATTTGGCACATCTGGAAATGGCCTGGTATATGGCAGTGCAACTGGGGCTGGAGCAGCGGATGTAACGCCAATATTGGTGGTATCACTAGTATTTTTAGCATCAGTATTATTTGCCATAGTTTCTTAGATTGTAGAGAAATGACACCGAAAAGTAACGATAATAATAATAATACTGCAATAATATTATTTGTGAGCGGAAATACACCAACCGGCTTGAGTTGCACTGGGCATTGTCCTAAGAAACTATTTCAGAAGTGTGAAATATTTCTCCAGGATTAAACAAGCTTACCTCTATTTTATTTAGAGGATACAAGAATCAACAAAACTAAATATTATATAAATCTAGCTACTGGTGAGAAAAAGGAAGAACAACTAATGTGTAATGTTAATTAAATATTATAGAAAAGGAATTAGAAGAGAGAGACGTATAAGAACAATTTCTGACGATGAGAATGAATGGCTAATGAATGCTATTTATAGCCATAAGTGCATGTTTCTATCCTTGTGAATGATTGCGACGTGGCTATCGTCATTTTCCATTTCTCCAAAGGAATGTGCCATTTATCAAAAGGCTTAAAGGATGGCTGCCACATTTTGGTAGTAAGACCACTTGTCTTTTATCTTTCCATGCAAAGATATTTGTCAAATGCTAATTATATAAACTCTTTTAAAATACTAATATAATTTGGTTGACAGGGGTGAGTCTAATCCTAATGAATTCAACGCTATCCACGTTGCTCTAACTCCCACCATTATCTCCCTCAAATAGGTAATTACATCTTCTTTGGATTTTTATTTTTACTAGTATACATATCCGTGCGATGCGCGAATCAATTCAAAGGAAAAAGGAGCGGAGGGAGATAATAGAAACATATGTATTTAACGATCGAATTCAAAAGAATTAAAACAAAAAAATAAATAGATGAATTTTATTGGAGCCAATATTGGGACCAAGTATAATTCAAGACCATATGACAGTACTATTCTAAGAAATTTTCCCTGTAGCTGTGCAGCTAGCTTAAATCTACCATACAAACCTTTGCAATTGTTGTGAAAATGTAAGAGGTAAAAAGCCGATGCTCGATTTCTGTTAGGATAGATATCATAGGCTGGTTTTTATCCTTAAAAGTTAAAAAAAATAAGTTTTTTATCATGGTAAGATTCTCATTGTACTGGATTCCAAGAGAGAAATTTGGCATATATTTAAGAAAGGGTTATTCCTTATCAATTTAAAAAGGAAAATATTTCATCTTTGATTTGCAATAAAGTTGAGGTAAGTTTTCTTACAATCTCTGCAGCCCACTGCCAATTTAGTTCATCTTAATGAGCGTAGAGTTGTTGTAAAATTTTGCTCTTTCAAGATAGTTGGTCTGGTAAGTGAAACCTTAATTTTGTCTTGAAAATTTAACTAGTATGCATTTTATTGTATTCATTACGACACATGATTGCGATATCAACATATTTCCATTTCTACTTACCTGTTACTGTGTGCTTCATGCCAAATTGAGTAGAAATACTAATTTGAATGTATGAATCTTTACTTGTTAACTTTTCACATAAAAATCAACTAGTTGTAAGTGAAGAATAAAGAACTAAACTATGGTTTAATTTGTCACAACTTATAACCACCAAATTGAATATCAGAAAAAGCGTATTCTACTGCTAAGAAACTCATAATGGTGAATAAAGTTCCTGAAATGTATTCCTCTAAGTGTTTATCCCAGATAATCAATTATGTTTAATAGAGAATAAATTATGACAGAGAAACAATGATGGAAAAAAGTTACTCGAGGTTTGGCGTAATTTTTGTATTTTTGACTTCCTCTCAATTAGCATTAAAGTAAATGGAGAAGTATTCACAATTTATATTGAGAAACATCACTCATCTTAGAGGTGAGACGTCTTTTCCCTACTAACAAATGACTGATATTACAAAATAAAATACATTTAGCTCAATCATTTTCTGCATCAAATTATAAAATAGATTGAGAATATAAGGATTTCCTACTCTATTGAATCAATGCTCTCATGTTCATATATAGGAATGAGTTTTATATACGTGAAGCATGCCAATCAAATGCAAAAATAATAAGTCAATAAAAATTGTTTGTGATATGAACAACTATTATTGGCAGTGCTACCATAACTTCTATAAAGAGTTCTTAAAATTAAGGCCAATTGGTGAAGTAGGAGAATTGGTATGTGATAACCAAATTTAAGCATCAATTAAGTTGACATCTTCCCTGAAGGATCGACTTTTCAAGTGCATAACACACTATATGTTGAACCCAGTAAGAGAAAAAAATATTAAATTCTTTCACTTTTTATGCATCGCTATAGTCACAAAATAAATTCTTTCCCATTTTATGCATAACTATATATAATCACAACTCACAACACTTCTATGTCTCTATCATATGTCAGAGTGCGATAAATATATGCATTCTGCTGTTTCACATCAATTATTTCCTAGATTGACGTTTTCATTTTGAGTAGTTGTTGAATTTTTGTAGACAATATATTGAATGGGTGAAGAAAAATCAATAATCACGTGGATTACGTGTATAATAGAGAACTATTGAAAACGCAATGAACTGTACTTTGAAGATATTTATTGAGAAAAAATGAACATTATCATTGGCAAACTTAAACAAAGTCTAATTCCAGTGATAATCAGTATAAAGAGAACCGTCAACTATTCTTGATTTGCATAAAACTAAAAGTGCTACGATGTCTTCTGAAAAATAACATAAGAAATCCACTCATTTTTTTGTGTGGTTTGCCTAATTGAAAGAAAAACTCCCATGGTCTCTTCGAGATATTTGATTTAAAGAAGAAGAAGGAAAAACTCCTAAGAACATTGAAGATTGATTTTCATCAATAGCCATGAACAAAATTTTTTTAATTTATATCAAGTAAGCAAGCTAGCTCAACTGCGGGGCCTCGAGGGTCTTCTCTAGTGGCTTTAATTCTACATCTTAGAACACCTCATAGGGATTGATTCTCATGCTCAACTGATCTGCTATGACCCTTCTTTTGCATTGGAAACTTTAGTGCAAAATGGTGAATAAACCACCAAATTGAATATCAGAAAAATTATATTGTACATCTAAGAAACACATAATGATGAATAAAGTTCCTGAAACGTATTCCTCAAATTGTTTATCTCAAACTGACAAATATGCTTCATAGAGGATAAATTATAACTAAGAAGCAGTGATAGAAAAAGGTTCATCGAGGCTTGGTGAAATTTTTATATTTTTTTACGTCCTCTGAATTAGAATCAAAGTAAATGGAGATGTATTCACCAATCATATAAATTTCACCATTCGAAAGAGTTTTCTATCATAGCCTATAAAAAAGGATACAAAGGAACAACAATAAAATCTTCATAACACATTTTCTGTTAAACAGTCCAACCATAGAGAATCCAACTTTCAACGGCAGTAATATTGCAGCAATATAGAAGGTACACTAACTTCCTCAATTAATTCAATCATAGATATAGCGATAATACCAAGTGAAGAGGAATAAAGCTTGAATGAAAATTAATTAAAAGAAGATATTAATTAAATAACAGAAAATATAATAATTAGAAGTTTACGATGAAAGTTATTTTTACCAAATAATTCAGTCTCGTTCACATCAACCTTATTTATCAATTGATCATATGGTCGCAGATCAAAGACATTCATTGTGAAAAGTGAATCAGTTTTTTCAGCCATTGTTGTCCGTGGAGAAAAGGTTAGCCTCAAGTTATATTTTGTGGTGTTGAACCTCTCCTTATTTTGGCAAAGGACAAAGTTCGCCATAAGATATAATCCAAGCTAATTAATTTGTGTTCTGAAAAGATGCAGCACTAACTTGCCAATAGAAGCATGTATCTGATCCACAACAAAGAATTCACATTACATACATACATATAGAAATTAAAAAATTATGCGAACAACAGAGCAAAAAATTCAGATTTGTAAATTAAAAAACAGAAAAGCAAAACACGATACATATTGTAGTATATCACTGAGAAACATATTTGAGGATAAATATGTTTGGTGCACAAATGCTTCAATCAGGTTTTTGCTACTGATTATCCCATGAATACACACATATGCAAATTTAAAAACAAAGTTAGCAAAAAGAATTATAAGATAATAATAGATTTTTAATACCTTTTCATCTTGTAGAACCAATTCAATCGAGAAAGTAGTGTCGGAATTGTAACGATCTTGTATTTCCCACAAACGAACAATCCGAATTTTGAACTTGCTTGATTAAATCACCGTGAATAGCCATATTTTGCAAAAATCGTATGTTGATAGCAGTAGGAAGATTAGAATTAGGAACCACATATGAGTCCGAGAAATACAAGTCAGGCATCGCCAGTTTGGAAAAGTTCCTTTTCAATCGTGCGCATGTTTATAAGTTTCAATAGTGTTTTGAGGTTTTGCAGAGGAAAGTGGGTTCTACATTTAGGGAAAAGTGGTTTATAAATCAGGTTTTTTTTTTAAAGTTAAAGAGTAAAAAATGTATATATTTTAAAATCAGTTAACTTTTTAAAATAAAGAAATCTAAAATTTTGAATTAAATAAAGATTTTTCTTGGAAGAAAAATTTGCGGTCTTCATGGTTCAAAAGTAGATGAATTTTGAAGGAGCTTTTATTTCCAAATAATTTTGAATTAGTAAATTTTCTTAAAAATAAATAAATCTAAAATTTTGAATTAAAGAAAACTATTTATTGGTCTTCATGGTTCATAATTAAAGAGTCAAAAACATATGTTTTAAAATGTGTAATTTTTAATTAATAATCTCAAATAAGATTTTCTTTTTAAATTTAAAGATTAATAAACATATGCTTTAAAATCAGTTAAGTTTTTAAAAATAAAGAAATATTTAATATTTTAAACTAAAAGATTAGGAAAAGTGGGTTCTAAATGTGCAATTTAATTTTTAAATAAAAATGTTAATCAGTTTTCTTTTTTAAAATTAAAGAGTAAACAATGTATGTTAAAATTAGTTAAATTTTTAAGATGTATGTTTTAAAGTTAGTTAATTTTATTAAAAATAAATAAATCTAAAATTTTGAATTAAATAAAGCTCTTTAAAATAAAAAGTTTGGTCTTTGTGGTTCAAAGTTAAGGAGTCAAAAACGTATGTTTCAAAATGTGCAATCAATGTTTAATTTTTAAATAATAATCTAAATCAGATTTTCTTTTTAATTTTAAAGATTAATAAATGTATGCTTTAGAATCAGTTAAATTGTTAAAAAGAAAAAATCTTTAATATTTTAAAAATGTGATAAAACAATAAAAGTAGAAGAACAATATTGCAGAGAAAGAAAGAGAGGAAATTCTTATTGAATTTTGGGATGATTTATAATGGGGTAAGACCCCTCTATTTATAGGGAAAAAATGACTTAGCCACAAAGTAAAACTCTCTACAAGATAGACATTCACTCTAAATAGAATTATATTCATAACACTCCCCCTTGAATGTCTACTCGATAAGTAATGTGCCTCGTTAAAACCTTAACTAAAATAAAACCCAATGGGAAAAAAATCTAGTAAAGGAGAAAGAGTATACATGTCTAACAATACGCCTTTTGGTTGCCTCGTTAAAAACCTTGCAAGGAAAACCCAGTGGGACAAAACCTTGTAAGGAAAAAAGAGTGCAACGCGCATTAACTCCCCCTGATGAGAGCATCAATTCACATCATTGAGCCTTCGCATCCCAATCTTGTGTACTAGTTTCTTGAAGGTTGACGTCGGTAGAGATTTTGTGAACAAATCAGCCATATTATCACTTGAACGAATCTGTTGCACATTGATATCACCATTCTTTTGAAGATCATGTGTGAAAAATAACTTTGGTGAAATGTGCTTTGTCCTATCTCCTTTTATGAATCCTCCCTTCAATTGAGCTACGCATACTGCATTGTCTTCATACAAAATCGTGGGTAACTTGTCACATTTCAAACCACATTTGTCTCGAATAAGATGTATTATAGACCTCAACCACACACATTCTCGACTTGCTTCATGAATAGCAATTATCTCAGCATGATTAAATGAAGTACCCACAATTGATTGCTTAGTCGATCGCCAAGATATGTCAGTGCCTCCACAGGTAAACACATAACCTGTTTGAGATCGAGCCTTGTGTGGGTCAGATAAATACCCAGCATCAACATAACCAACAAGATCGGGACTGCAATTATTGTCATAAAATAAGCCCATATCGGTAGTCCCTTTTAGATACCGCAATATGTATTTGATTCCATTCCAATGTCTCCTTGTAGGAGCAGAGCTATATCTTGTTAAGACATTAACTGAAAAAGTTATGTCAGACCTTGTAGTATTAGCAAGATACATTAGTGCACCAATTGTACTAAGATAGGGTACTTCAGGACCAAGTAGCTCTTCATTCTTTTCTTGAGGTCGGAATGGATCCTTATTCACATCAAGTGATCGAACAACCATCAGAGTACTTAATGGAGCTGCTCCATGCATGCAAAACCGTTTCAATACCTTTTCTATGTAGGTAGATTGATGAACAGAAATTCCATTTGCCAAATGTTCAATTTGCAAACCAAGGCATAATTTTGTCTTTCTGAGATCTTTCATCTCGAATTCCTTCTTTAAATAATCAGTTGCCTTTTGGAGTTCTATAGGAGTTCCAATAAGGTTTATGTCATCAACATATACGGCAAGTACAACAAATTCCGATGTTGTTTTCTTTATAAAAACACATGGGCAAATGGCATCATTTATATAGCCTTCCTTTAATAAATACTCACTAAGACGATTATACCACATTCGTCCTGATTGCTTTAGACCATACAACGATCTTTGCAATTTGATTGAAAACATTTCCCGGGACTTTGAATTATTTGCGTTTGGCATTTTAAATCCATCGGGAATTTTCATATATATCTCATTATCAAGTGAGCCATAAAGGTAGGCGGTAAACACATCCATTAAATGCATGTCAAGCTTTTCATGTACAGCAAAACTAATGAGATAGCGGAAAGTTATAGCATTCATAACGGGTGAATATGTCTCTTCATAATCGACACCAGGCCTTTATGAAAATCCTTGTGCAACAAGGAGTGTCTTATATATTTGTACCTCGTTTTTCTCATTTCTCTTGCGTACAAAAACCCATTTATAGCCAACAGGCTTAACACCATTAGGTTTTTGGACTACAAGCCCAAAAACTTCACGTTTTGCAAGTGAGTTCAACTCTGATTGGATTGCTTCTTGACATTTTGGCCAATCAAGTCTTTGTCGACATTATCCAATAGATTGAGGTTCAAGATCCTCACTTTCTTGCATAATGCTAGATGCACCATTATATGCAAAGACATAATCCACCACTATATCTACTCGATTCAACTTTGTCTCAATATCGATTGAATTTATTGATAGTTCCTTATTTTCTTGAGTCTCGGCCTCAATGGATTCCTCATGAATCTCAGAATTTATTAAATTGTGGATTTCATCATGAGATTCTTTCGTAGTGCCATTTTGATTATTTATTTTTCTTTTTCTAGGATTTCGATCTTTGGAACCTAATGGCCTGCCACGTTTTAGGTGTGCTTTTGACTTATTAGCTATGACACTAGAAGATAGTCCTATAGGGACATCAATACGGATTGGAACATTCTCTGCAGGGATATGCGATTTTTTTATCCTTTTCAAATCCGTAAATGCGTCTGGCATTTGATTTGCGATTCTTTGAAAATGGATAATATTTTGCACCTCTTTTTCACAAATAGAGGCACGTGGATCAAGATGAGATAATGATGGATTTTTCCACAAAATTTCCCGTTTGGTTTCACCAACTTCTCCCCCTAATTTTGAGAAAAGTGTCTCATCGAATCGTCAGTCTGCAAATCGTGCAGTAAACAAATCCCCCGTCAATGTTTCTAGATAGCGAATGATGGAGGGCGATTCAAACCCAATATATATTCCTAACCTTTTTTGCGGACCCATTTTGGTGCGATATGGCAGTGCTACAGGCACATATACTGCGCATCCAAAAATTCTTAAATGGGATATATTAGGTTCATGACCCAAAACTAGTTGCAACGGGGAATATTTATGATAATTTGTCGATCTGAGACGAACTAGCATTGCTGCATTCAAAATGGCATGACCCCAAACAGAACTGGGCAGTCTCGTTTTCATGAGTAACGGTCTTGCTATCAATTGCAGACGTTTAATTAAACACTCTGCAAGACCATTTTGAGTGTGAACATGAGCTACATCATGTTCCACTTTTATCCCAATTAATAAGCAATAATCATTAAATGCTTGGGATGAAAACTCAGCAGTATTATCAAGTCTAATAGACTTAATTGGATTATCGGGAAATTGTGCTCGTAATCAAATTATTTGTGCCATTAATTTTGCAAACGCGATGTTGCGAGATGACAATAAGAACACATGGGACCATCTAGAAGATTCATCTATTAAGACCATAAAATATCTAAACGACCCACTAGGTGGGTGAATAGGTCCACAAATGTCCCCTTGTATACGTTCCAAAAACACAGGGGACTCAATTCCAACATTTGTTAGTGATAGTCTAATAATTAACTTGCCTTGATAACAAGAAGTACAAGAAAATTCATCATTTAAAAGAATCTTAAAATTTTTTAATGGATGCCCATTTGAGTTTTCTATAATTCGTCTCGTCATAATTGATCCAGGGTGTCCCAATCGATCATGCCAAAGTACAAAAGTATTGGAATCAGTAACCTTTTGGTTTACGGTAGAATGTGCCTCAATTGCACTAATTTTTGTCCCATACAGGCAACAAGATAAAGATGGGAACTTCTCAATAACCCTCTTTTGGACAGAGACATTCCTGGTAATGATTAGATATTCAAGATTATTCTCATCTATTGTCTCAATATGATATCCATTTCGATGGATATCTTTACAACTCAACAAGTCCCTCTTGGACTTGGAGGAGAACATTGCCTTCTCTATGATAAGTATTGTTCCCTTAGGCAGAGTTATAGTAGCTCTTCTAGAGCCTTCAATTAATTTATTACTGCTAGAAATTGTAGTAACATCTGCCTTACACATATTTAAATGAGAGAAATATTTCTTCTTTTTGAATATTGTATGTGTCGTACATGAATCAATTAAACAAATATTTTTACAGTTGAACTTTGATCCAAGTTTGTTTTGTGAGATATCCATATTTGCTTCCCATTGTTTGACATACAAAAAAAATATACGATAAACATTAGTACGAATAACAACACGTTTTTTTCTTTATTTGTTGGTACAAAACTAGTAACTTGAAGTATCATTTTGTTGTTATAATAAATGTATAAAATATAAACATTCGCAAACCATAATTGTATGTTCTCGGAAGAACAAACACGTAAGGATAAAGTAACAAGAGATCATAACAGATTATGTAATGAAGTATGCATAATGTAAGTTTTACATATAACGTGATT